GTCACGGGGCAGCCCAAAGCCGTCCGCCTGCTGCCCGCACGTTATAAGCAGATCAATGAGCCAGTTCCTTCTGGCTGCACCCCACCCCCCTGCTGACAGCTGGCACTTCCACCCCAGACCCACGAAGCAGAATCGACACATGCTAACAAGGCTCTGACGTAGTATGTCCAAGGTGGGAGTGCCAGTTCTCAGCCGGAAGTCAAGCTGGAGCAAAGCCTTCCTGTAAGCGTGAGGCGCTGCCCCAGGTGGGCTGCCCTGGCTTCCGCAAGGAGGGCCGTGAGTCTTCACTGACTGATTTTGGGAAGTAGGTATCCAGTGTGCAGGCTCAGCTGAAACCTGCTCACGTGGGTGACCCTGCTGGTAAGTGGAACCCAGGGGCGGCGGCTTCCGCATCACTCTAATGCAGGCCACCACAGAGCGACAGACTGACAGCGGCGGTCCTTCCGAGTGTCGACCGTGACCCGTAGTAACCTGAGGGACAAACCCTTTGGGTTCTCCAGACTGCCAGCCTGTACACAGCCTCCTCTTTCTGCCTAAGAAGCTGCCGGTGGGTTTGAACACCTGACATAGCGGTCAGCAGCCTAATACGTAACCCACTCTGCCACTAGGGCTCCTGGTAATGCTGCTTTCCGGTTGATTCCAACGTCATCTTCTCAGACAGGGTGGCGCTGTCCCTTTAGGCTTCCAAGGATACACACCCTGCAGGAGCTGAAGGCCCCGCAGTCCTCCAAAGGGGAAGCCGGTGGGTTTGAGCTGCCGTCCTTGCCCCCCTGTACCCTCCCACACCTCCCAGGCCCCTGGTGACAGTCCCAACACCCCCTTACGGATCACAGAGCCTGCTGGAAAGGAGCTAGCGGGGACAAGGTCTGACCAGGTCTGCAGGCTCCAGTGCCCCCGCTCAGCAGAGCAAGAGAAGTGTGAAAATTCATGTGTCATCAAAGTCCATAAAAGGATCAGTGAGCGCCCGGGGGCAAGGCTGGCCGAGGCCCCAGAAGCTCGCTGGTCACCGGCCGTCCGTTCCCATTCCCTGGGCCTCTTCTGGGAACAGAACAGGGCTGCTCTGCCTCAGCCGCTCCTGGCCCTGCCCTGCTCCGCCCCGGGTAGCCAGAGCTATCTGGCTGCCCCCCATGGAGGAGCTTTGGAGGTGAGGAAGGCCGGTCACAGGAAAACCCTGTGCTCATTGAGAAGGTCTTTTCCACCCCACCCCGACCCCCTTCCGCGGCGAAGCCCAGCGTTTGAGAGGCAACAGGCACGTGTCTTATCTCGCCAGTCAATTCGGGCTTCTCTCCATCGGGCATAGTCTCCTCAGCAGAGATTACTGCTTGTACCAATTTGTCCCCAAATCATTGTAGACAGGAGCCCTTGGCTTTGAGCCACCGGAGCCTGGACTTCATTTGAAACCCCCAGGAGAGGGACCTGACGGCTGGCACAGGGGGTAAAAGCCACCCGGGCCCTCCGGGGTCTGCCCAGCCACCAGCAGGTGGTTGTGGTGGAGGAGGGTGCGATGGAGGGACAGGGCAGGAGAGGTACAGAGCTGAGGCCACAGTTGGTTTGGAGACCAGCAATTCTAGGAGCTGGTGGCTCAGCCCTGTGGCCT